GGGCGGCTGCGGGGGCTCGGGTTGCGCGCGCGGCGTATAACCCGGGCGTATAAACCCACTATTAGCTCGGTGGTTAAGCACCAAAAATGTTCGGAGCGATCTGATTTCGGAAATCGGTAGATTTTAACCTCCTCTCTCAGATAAGCCTTGGAGCCAAACCCGGAAACCGCGGGAACCATCCGAAAAAGCGGGTTGCATATTTGCCAGGGGTACCGCCGCTTTTCCAGTTAAAATCGGTTATAAATCAAAAACTAGGCGACGCATCATCGCGGTTGAAACGGCGGAGCGTCGGGAAGACTTGGAAGAGTAGATTGGCGTTGGTTTCATCTTCCTGGCATCAAAACTGCACTGTTATTCAAATTGCGATAACCACCGTATATATTTTGCAATAAAAAACTTATCACATTTTTTTGCTATAATGACAACTAAATATCTGCAATAAAAAAATTATAGCTAAATTTTGCAATAAAGTATTGCATTTTTGCGATAATGACTACAAAGAAAATGCAATAAAAAGTTATCGCAGAAAAAAATGTGATAAAAGTTACTACAAACGCTCTATTATCGCAAAAATTATGGGGTGGATATTGCAAAAAAAGTGCAATAAAAAAATTATCGCACTCCAGGATGCGATAAATCGTGGGAATCGCAAACTCGGTTTTATCGCAAAAATTTGTAGTAAAAGTATCGCAAAATGAATGACAGTGTGCGACCTACAGAGTCTATAATCTGATTGGACACTGACGTTCAAAATCAGAAATTCGCAATTTGCACGAAATTTTTCAGATCGATTGTATGAGTTATTGCGCACCAATAGATGCGCCCTTCTGTCAGCTACCACGTGAGCTCTTAAAAAATGGGGGTCGTCGCTGTGGATTTCGAACGGCAGCGCTTTGAACGCCGCCAGGCGGAGAGCGCGCGGGCCCGCCGGGTGGTACCGCGGGCTGCCTACCCGGCCTCTCCGTAAGGCACCATGTTAATTTTGCACCTTTTAAACTTTTTTCCCAAGGAACAAAAGAAATGCCTCTGCGGGTCAAAAGCTTTCTTTTGGCATCAACTAAAAGTGGGACGAGTGTCATTATGTTCGAAGGATTTGCACACTCATTTCACTTAGACTTGCCGCTGGGTCCGGTTAGGTCCGGTAGCAAGTGTAAGTGAAATGAATGTGCAAATCCTTCGAACGCAATGACACTCGTCCCACTTTTAGTTGATGCCAAAAGAAAGCTTTTGACCCGCAGAGGCATTTCTTTTGTTCCTTGGGAAAAATGTTAATAAGGTGCGAAATTAACATGGCGCCTTACGGAGAGGCCGGGTAGGCAGCCCGCGGTACCGCCCGGCGGGCCCGCGCGCTCTCCGCCTGGCGGCGTTTAAAGCGCTGCCGTTCGAAATCCACAGCGACGACCCCCATTTTTTAAGAGCTCACGTGGTAGCTGACAGAAGGGCGCATCTATTGGTGCGCAATAACTCATACAATCGATCTGAAAAATTTCGTGCAAATTGTGAATTTCTGATTTTGAACGTCAGTGTCCAATCAGTTTATAGACTCTGTAGGTCACAGTTTTGATGCAAGGAAGATGAAACCAACGCCAATCTACTCTTCCAAGTCTTCCCGACGCTCCGCCGTTTCAACCGCGATGATGCGTCGCCTAGTTTTTGATTTATAACCGATTTTAACTGGAAAAGCGGCGGTACCCCTGGCAAATATGCAACCCGCTTTTTCGGATGGTTCCCGCGGTTTCCGGGTTTGGCTCCAAGGCTTATCTGAGAGAGGAGGTTAAAATCTACCGATTTCCGAAATCAGATCGCTCCGAACATGTTTTGCCCATTTCGCCTTTTTTGTGGCGCTTAACCACCGAGCTATATCTAGTACTCATGAAGTGCCTCCCTCACGTTGCGCGGTGCCGCTCCCCTTCCTCTCGTCACGAGACGCTGCTACGCATCGCGTAGCTGCCCCCCGCGCCTCTTCCTCTGCCGAGACGCCACGTCCCGCCGCGCCCCGCCACACCCCGCAACTGTCCACACACACACACACACACACACACACACCACACACACACACACACACACACACACTTGAACCTTGAGTGCGTAGAACGCATAGTGCAGCGCCCCCTCGAACCCCTGCCCCTCTCGAGAAGCGGCGCGCCGGCAGTCGGCTGTGTGCGCCACTCTTGCTTATCTATCTTGAGGTCGGGTTCGGGTGGCGCGCCGGCCGGCCGGCCCCGCTTGGAGATGTGGCTGACACGCCGCGTGCCGCAAGGCGCCTTGGCCTAGTACCGAACACAACTTTTACGGGTATTGAGTATGTGATTAGCCACCAAATTGTGCATCCTCGCGTTGAAACAACGAAAATGATACCCAACACAAGTGGTATCGGACATATGAGTGCCCCACCGTCATTGCGAACATGTTTAACACAAAACAATGGCACGTTAGAATATTCAAAAGTTATACTAAAATTGACATTTTCATGAATTACCATGTGTAAGAAATTTGTCAAAAAAAGAGTTCCGAGTGTTTACTCTTTGAAAGAAATTTACAAAATGTCACATTCATACATTTCAATAAACATTCTCTTAAGTATCATCTGCTTTCACGTTAGCGTTAGCGTTAACGTTTTTTTTTCTCCACTATTAGTAGAAAAATTTGTCGATGACGAATGTGACATTTTGTTCATTAATGTGGAAGAGTAAACACTTGGAAGAGTAAACACTTGGAACTCTTCATTTGACAAATTTCTTACGCATAATAATTCACCAAAATGTCAATTTTATTTTAACTTTTGGATATCCTAACGTGCCATTGTTTTGTGTTATAAACATGTTCGCAATGTCGGTGGTACACTCATACGTCGGACACTCATACCACTTGTGTTGGGTATAATTTTCGTTGTTTCAAAGCGAGGATGCACAATTTGGTGGCTAATCACATGAATACTCAACACCCGTAAAATTTGTTTTTGGTACTATGGCGGGATACCTCATCGGACGCAGCCTGCGACACCCAAACCCGAGACGCTCAAGATAGGCATGAGTGGCTTGCACTGCCGACTGCCGGCGCGCCGCTCTCGCCCTCGTAAAAAAATTTCATAAAACTTTATGAGCGCTTGTAATTTTTTTATAAATTTTTTACAAGTACCCTTTTTTTTTAATACATTTTAATATAAGCTAATAAAAATTTAATTGAATCACACTTTTTTACTAAGCAAGTTAAAAAGGCTTAATAAAATGTAATATGTTACTTTACTACTATTTATTAGTAGAATGTTTTTGTAACTTCTTATAAGTTGTTTCATTACTTGTTATAAGACTTCTTTTGTGAATTTTTATTACGACTTAGTTGCTGCACATATTAAGAATGCTTGTTAACGTTTATTAATGTCCTTATTAAAACACAGTTAGATCAATTTAAACGAGGAAAAGAGTGCCGCCCTTTCTATATCGATTGTTGACCGTCGAGACTCGAGACACTCGAACTCTGGCGAGTTCGATCTAGATCGATCTTCAAGCTATGGTGTTTTCGGAAGTGATGACAAGATGTTTTGCGTTCAATTTGCGACTTGAATTGAGTATTGTTATTTGTGCGTGAGTGGTGAGTTACGCTCGTTATCTCTGCATTCTAGTTTACTTTATTTTGTGCAGCATAGAAATCACCTGAGTGTCAGACGGTTATATAATAATGCCAAACCCAGCCATAACCTTGATTCGTCAGTCACCTTTGTTTTGGTTTTCATTTCTGTGTGATTATTTACCATTAAATCTTGATTCCAATGCTACTGCACTTTCAAATTTTTTATTTGCTGTAAATCTGATCAAACCAGTCACATTTGCTCTTTTTCACGGATGGATTCATTTTTGATTGCTTGCATAATTACTTTCTTGAACACATCTCAACCTATACCTGAACTCCTAGAGGACTCATCCTAACTAACATTACTCTGCTTTTTTTTCAGGTTCACTGTGCTTCGAAGAAACATTCAGTAAGAGCTTCTGCGAGCAGCAAAATGTTCCACCCGTGACAGATTTGGTGCTATCTGCAATCGTTATCCACAGCAAAGTATGTAATTTTCAATCAGCATTGCATATTCAAATAATTTGGCAGGACTGCATTAAAAATAAGAATCGACTCAGTTCACCACTCAATATTGTTACTTGTAATTCAGCCTTGCAAGCATTTCAATTAATTATCTCTGTTTTCTTTCAGACTCTCATTGTGTTCACCGAGCTGTCAAGAGCATCATCAATCACTAGGTGTGACTACCCAACTCATCACCATTCATATTTCACATTGATTTTCAAGTACCGTTGAACAAGCAGGGTATTAAAGTGGTATTTATTGTCTTTCCAGTGTTCGCTTTTGTTTTCACTCCCAATTTCACCCTGTGCGAGCTTCTAAATAGACGTTTTTCAAATATTTGTGACAAGAAAGGTGTTCTTGGTCTTGAATTGAGACACTTTGAGATTTAGTAGAAAACTGTGGTCTGTTTGGTAACAAGCAGCTTGTGAAGCTGCTTGTATTTTAATGACAGGGCAAAGTAAATAATAGTAACAAATACATGTTAAGAATCTTCTGTAGACTCTGGTTGGTTGCGGCCCATCAATTCAAAAGTATTTGTTCGAGAAAGCAGTGGTCCTAGAACAAAAACAGTCATTAAAACCTCCTTGACAAGGATGTTAATGCAAATATCAAATAATCTTTCAAAAATGTTTGCAGTGAATAAAATACACAACTTGAGTAGAGTGAATATACCTTCGATTCCTTGTGTTTCAAAGAGAGCTATCTGCGAAACCTCTTCTTCTATTGGACCCAAGTCATGACCGAATACTTTAACATCTTTGGGATCCACATCGTCCCACCTACAAAGGCGCTTAAAGTACAGATGAGCCTCATCTTGTGCTTGGCTAATGTTCTCTGGAAAAAAATCATCTTACTAAGCAACCATATCATACTCAATTAATTTGATCAGAACCGTAGATGAAAATTATTACCATGAATCCCAAGAATCACTACTGATGTCAGCTGATTCTCATGGCGTGGCAGCTCTACAATGTCTCCGCTTCCATAATGTTTCCCATGAGTATTGAAATTATAATAGGTACAAACTTGACCATCCACAGGGAATATTCCAATGATCACAACAAGCGTCACTGACAAACAAATAATAAAAATAATAAACACTAATGAGCAAAACAACAATATGTGCTTTTTAAAATATTGCGAAGTTGTGTTTTAGATGTTCTATTCTTGCCTTCGCCCATCTGGATGCAAAGACATAACCATTAAGAGTTCGAGTGAGCAAAATTCTTATGCACTTACTTGTCTCAGGCTGAATGCTACCGCAGGCGAAAAGCAGCGTTTTATTTTCAGATTTAGATAGACCCAACAGAAAATGGAAGGATAAATATCTGTGCTTTCATCAGGTTTCCAAAGCTTAGGCTAGGCTGAAGTGAAAAATAGCGCCTTGTGACGTCACGTGAAAACGATGGCCAATGAGAGCGAAGCAAATTGGCGGCCCCGGTAGAACGATCAAAATAGCTGCAGACTGATTCCGAGAGTCGTTTTTCGTCGCTCTGTCGCCTCCGCACCTATACGGCACGCCCTGTGAGTGCGAGAGAGACAGAACGACGAAAACGACTCTCGGAATCAGTCTGCTGTTTGAGTTAATTGTTACATCGCGGGCACCTTCAACACCTTGCGGCACTCCTTGTGGGCTGTCCTCCGCAGGCACGGCGCGGGCGAGGACGTCATCGCGCTGCTGTGCAGCATGTACGAGGGAGCCACCACCAGGAGGATCGTCGTCAACGGCGTGATCACTGAGGCCGTGGACCTGCTGGAGGGCATCACGCAGGGTGGTCCAGTGTCCATGCTGCAGTACTGCATCGCCAGCTCCCGCTGCTCAAGGCCCTGAACACCAGGCTCGTCGGGGTCCGCGTCGATGGCACGGACAGCAGGCTGGCGAGTTCTGCGTATGTACGTCGATACGACACTGTAGTGGTGCTGCAGGACGTCGCGGAAGTGGCTTCTCTCGTGAGGACCGTAAAGAAGTTCGAAGCCGAGTCGGGTCTGCGCGTCAACGACGCCAAGCCCATGGCCCTGCTGGCCCTGCCCGTCGGACGCTGGCCGCACCGGGCGCCGTCCTGCAGGGAAGTCCCGCGTCATGCTCGCGGCGCGCTGGGAGAGCTCGGCGCGCGCGGGCTTCCAGACCGTCTCCGGGTGCAGTCGACTGATTCCGAGGGCAGCCTTCGAAGCCTTCGTCGCTCTGTCTCTCTTGCACTCGTGGGGCGTCCCGTCTAGGTGCGAGAGAGACAGAGCGACGAATAGGCGGCCCTCGGAATCAGTTGACTTGCAGTGCTACCCGCTGCCGTCGCGGTGCCGGCCTGCGTCAAGCACTTCTCCGAGTCCTGCAGGAGCGCGCCTTCGCCGCCGTCCCGGACTTGGTCGGCAAGGAGCTGACCAGGTCGCTGTACACCGCAGCCGCGCTCGTCCCCAGGGCCGTGCACGGCGTGTCGGACGACGTGTGCACCAAGTGTGGCGCTGCGTGCACCACCCTCCCCGTGGACGTCCACACTCTAAAAAAAGTTACAGAATTTTGTATCATTTTTGATGCAGGATTTTGTATCACCTTCATTGGTTACAAATATTTGTATAAGTGATATAGAATTTTGTAACAGATGTGCCGGTTACAGAAAAATGAATCATTTTGGACCTTGATACAGAAATTTGTTACATGAAGGTTACAATATTATGTTTCTAACATAACTGATGCAGAAAATTGTAACTGGATACTAAATTCTGTATCAGAGATAAAAACATAATGTTTTAAGGGCAAAATTGAACAGCAGTGCCCATAGAGACAAGTTAAACTTAGAGTTTTCATGTGCTTTTATTTTTCCCGACTCTGAATAAGAGATTCAGTCTCGTGTATGCTTGGCTGGCAAGGCCTCCGTCCCTTACCGCGCGCGTCTCAGGTCACCGGCTACCTGCGCCGCTCCCTCCACGGCGTCCGCACAGCGCAGTTGGTAGCGTGGCGGGCCGCCAACCCAGAGTTTGGGGTTCGATTCCCGACCTCTCAGAGTACATCTGTGAAAGTTGTTACTCGAAGAATGGCATAAGCACCATCAATCAGACCCACGGAGACTACGTTCGAACAAATTTCTCATTTTGAAGCTTGATTTGGAAGAATAACGACTATTTACAAATTTTATAACCGTTACGAAATTCTGTAACCAAGTTACAAAGAAAAAAATTGTATCCATCGGGATACAAATTTCTGTAACACATGTTATTGAAAAAGCTGCGTAACCATGTTACAAAATTCTGTACTGATTTTTTTTAGAGTGCAGTCGACCTGGTTCGAGGCCGTCGCAGGACGTTCTGCCCACTGCTCTGAGCCTCAACGCCGCCAACCAGAGCGCCACCCCGGACTGCCTCAAGTGCGCCGAGCACGAGGACGTTGGTGCACCAGCTGACGCGGTGCGGAGCCGAGCGCCGAGCAGCACGTCGGCGCAGCACGTCACCAGCACCACGGGCGTGGTTAAATGATGTTACTTTTTAATGAAAGAAACAAAAATAGTGGAGGAGCATTTGTGACTTTAAATATTTATGTCATAAACAAGAAAGTTTATGCATCAGTTTATTATGTGTCAATTGTCAATATGTGTTAATTGTCAATATGTGTCAATGTGTCAAAGTTGTTTTGTAGTCAAAGTTTGTGAAAGATATTTTGCCAATTAATAACATGTGAAGTATTTTTAAAATTTTATTTCAGAGCAATTTACATTTTGTATTGTTGGATATGTCACAGCCACACCAGGATTCTGTACCAAAGTTAAGCTTATGTAATACCAGCTTTTTTAATTTTTTGTAAAACCCTGAAATATATCACAGATTGTATTCATGTTTGTTGGGTCTCATACAAACAAAATTACCAATACTTACAACCTTGCAAACAATATTATTAAGATCAATAACTTCCATATCTCTTGTACGAATTATGGGTACAATATGTTTGATAACTATGCCTGACTCAGTATGACAAAAGGACTTAGTATGATCTACACGGAACTTATCAACCAACGCTCTCTTGCTAAGACCCGATTCACAGTAATATCTGATATCACCAAAAACATTATTCCCACAAGAATCTACATACATGATACTATAATTACACCTTTTCTTCTGCCTCAAATACAGAGAACATGTGAATTTGGCCCTTCCAATCACAGCTCTCTGATACACTTTTGATTTCTTCTTAGCATTCATGTCACTTGAAAAGAATAGTTTTGCCTCATCTTCGCTGAAAGAAAATCCTCTTATTTCATTCTTGAATTCTATTTTCTTTTCTAGTATGCCACCTTGGTTTCCATAACATCGCACTCTTAACACCTCAACACCCATAGCCAGCTTAACATTTGTTACAAGTTCTCGACCTTGATGCTTGGTTCCATGTACATACTTAGCCAGGGTACCATTAAAATCTTCTAACATAAATGCTGAATTACAATGGAGGGGGCCATGTCTTTTTACTGTCAAGGCCAAATGGGTAATATTATGAATGTAGAAAGTACAATATGAGGCACCGTACAGATTAGCAAATTGCCTGCAAAACATTCTAAGCAAAATATGTGCCCTTTGTCTATCCTTTTCAGATACACTCTCCTGAAGTAGCAAATATATGCCATGGACAAAGAGTAACCAATGCTGAAAGTAATTAGGTTTCATGAATTTTTCAAATATAATGACAGAATAGTACAGCACAAAAGAACGGAGTTCGTTTGCCTTCCACTGAGAGAACTTAGCAGTACTGCGTGGAATTCTTGTTATAAAATCTGGGACCCTCAGATTTTTCAAAAACTTGTTTATTTCATCTTGGTGCTCTTTTAAACTCCAGGGCCCATCCTTCACAAACCATAATGTCATCATTTCCTTTATCACGCACAGTAGAAGGTGCATGTACTCAGGAAAGACTGCAGTGCTACGATCACATCCAGGAATTTCAGAAATTACACTTGGTCCTTTTACACCTTTTTCAGGTCGTACCTTCTTACTGCAAACACCATGTTCCTCATATTTTTGCCTAGTTATTATGCCTTGCTCCTCCATTCGACTTGCAGTTCTAAGAGTTGCCTCGTCTTCTTGAAACATAAACACTCTCTTTCTTTTTTTTTTGCGCTTACCAGGGACAACGGGCTGAGATGGTAGTTTCTTCATTTTCTGTTCACAGTTGTTGCAAGAATATCTCCCTCCATGCATTAGAATATTTTGAAGCTGAGCCCTCACTGGGGCATCTCCACAAAATGAAGGAACAGAAATATAAGTTACATGGGTTTCCTTTGTTCTGGGGTGTACCCACCTCACACCATTTTCATGCAGTTCTTGAAGCTCTTTAACAAAAGGTTTCAGCAAGGTATTCATGTACGGTTTGCATTCATCAACCCAGATCCCACTAATTAAAACATATTTGTAGCGGATTTGAGGTGGCAATTCACCAGCTACCCACTCTACAGGCCACATCGACACATCTGAACTTTCACTGATAGATATGCCATCAGAGTGCCCCATTAAGGTTAAATTGTACATGCCCTCTCTTTGAACTCTCTTAAATTCAGAACCATCTAATAAATCAGAGTAGCTTCCTTCAGTTGCAGAATTAATTCTCTCTTGCCTATATTTGTCTATAATATCAGCTAATCCATGCTGTTCAAACATATTTCTCACTTGGTCAGCTAAGGATATCTGATAAAATTTATGACTGTCTGCTGAACAAAGATTACATTTCATCTCATTAAGACCTAAATAAAACAAACACTTTGAACAATAATAGTGGACCCTCTCTTCTGTAATGGGGCATAAATTCTCTACATACTTAAATAACGCATACTCTGTGGCTGGCATATTGTTAAACTTTGGAATAAACTTCAAAATCACTTTCAAAATACCTCCAGTTTCCTTTTTGGACATTTTATACTTAGTAAACAAATCCATCAAATGAAGGACACCTTCATCCACTGTTAAGTCACAAAGTTCACTTTCATACACCTTTGGCGACAAGAAACGATCAGAATCATCACTATCATCTTGATCACTTGATTCACTGGAACTTTCACTTTCACTCGGACTGCTGATTCTGTTGTGCGTGTCATCTTCAATACTGCTTTCACTGCCCTGCTCACTACTGCTGCTGCTTGTGCTGTCCCCAGCTTCAGAGCTAGAATCAGTGTCATCTAATATGTATGTTGTTGGCACTTCAATATCGCTGCTGTCATTCTTTTCATGATCGGATGTTGGCAAATCTATTTGATCAAAGACATTTACATTGATTTTGGGTGTTGGCACATCCTCTGGGTCGATACAAGACTGTTCACCACTGCCCAAATTTTCACTACGGCCATTGTCAATATTATCACTTGTGCCATCTTCTTCATCATTAAACAGCTCACGACGATGATGCTCATTCTGGTCAATTGTAGATTCAGGCTCCTAGAAAAAAAAAGATGAAGTGGTAGACAATCATAGATAAATATATTTGTATAAATTGGGCCACATCTTCAACAGAGATCTGGACTAACCTGAGAGTTTAATTTTCTACGTTTCTCAGCAAGTGGTGATGTTACAGAATCACCCAAGATTGGTGACGAAGGAATTTCAATAAAAGGGCTTGACTGGACACTTTGAGCCGGCGAAGAAACAGGAGATCTGTAGGGCGATGACGGACAGGATTTGACAGGGGACGTCTGAGGACTGTCACTATCCATAGCCTAAAAGAAACATATAAACAACTTTGAAGCAAAACAATAGATAGGTTAGGCCGCTTCACCACGTTACTTTTTATAAAATGAGCAACATAATAAATTTCTGCGCACAGCGCGCACTTACTGTGTTCCCCAGTCGTAGGCCCCTCTCCAAGATAGTTTCATTCTATTGACAAAACCTCAATTAGTTTAAA